GTGTGTGTGTGTGTGTGTGTGTGTGTGTGTGTGTGTGTGTGTGTGTGTGTTAGAAGGATTCAGACATATAGAGTCCTACTCATGAAAACGATACTGCATATCCGTGTAAAAGAGTTAAGATAATACTTAAAAAAATAAAATCACTGAATGGAATCTGGGTAATGATGTTCTAGTTCTATGCAGCTAAAATATCCTCCCAGTTCACAAACAAAGAAAGCTTTCCCCCAATGTTCCTTCAATCACAAACCCTGTTGATAACTGCAATATCATGTTCAATTATTATTAATGTGTGAAACTATATAAGGGAATATATGAAGGTATGTGGTGGACTATGAAATAAGAATAATGAATTGGTTAGATAGTGGTGTGTAGGTATGGCTTAAACTGTATTGTTTTTGCAATTTGTAATGTATTTTGTGTTCGGGGTCCCTATTTAAGCTAAAGCAGCTTCTTCAATCTTTTTAAGCTGCAGGATTTCTTACAACATGCAATTAAGTGATTTTGGTGTTTCTTAGCAGTTTGGCTCAGGCCAAATATGTGATCAATTTTAAAATACATGGACCATTTTTTAAAAAAAAAACTATCCTGTTTTTTTCCCATTAAGCAATAAATGTGCTGTTACATGGGTTACTGATTGCATTTTTCTCTCTGTGATATTTGTGAGTTTTAATATTACAACACATTAACACCAGTGAGACCCTGAGGACAATGACTGATAAAATGAGGGTTAAAAATATGATAAATTGATCTATACTTGAGAAATCCTTAACATGAATATAAAAAGCAAAGTTTATGCAACTATTGCATGTGCGATTTTTTACATTTGAAGTCTTTGTGTAATACTCTCTGTGTTTCTGTGTAGACAAAACCAGAACATCAGAAAGGTTAATCGCTGCTTCTGGAGCTCAGAGCAGCACGTCAGTGCACACACTACTGCAGAACCTGTTATAAAGTACCTGTGTCAGTGGAGTAAACCCGGAAGCTCTTATCCCAGAAGCCACACAGGAGGATGAAGCGGTTGTCGGCTGTGACGACGAAACACTGCGAGCTGATCTGAATGCTCTGATCCAGGAGGTCTGAGATCTGACGACGATGAGTGGCCACGTTGCTGGCTGAAACACATCCAGCAAACAAAAGCGTACATGTTAAAAAAAAGGTGCACAAACATATACAAAGTGTGAAACCTGCAAAAACGATCCAACAAACACTTTGAAAATAGCAGATTTATGGTGTAAACAGGCAAAAGCTCACACTTTGATGCTCCTCCACTGAAGCTTCAGTGTAAAAAAGATTTATGAGGGGACACATAAAACATCCTGGAGATTAAGTTTATAGGGACTACACATTTTCCGTGAGAGTTCAAGAGCCTGAGTAATAACAGCGTGCGCCTCGCTCCGGTCAGAAGAGACACAGAAATCCATCTCGGTTGTGTGATTAAGTATTCTAAATTAGAAAACTAATTTCCTGACGCGCTTAGATCTATTTTTTTTCTCTTTGAGTTACATTCTTTCTTTTTTAGAACTTAATGGGTCAATTGCATGGAAAGCAGGTAAAACCGGGAAGATCTCAGCCTACTGGTTGCAACAAATATTTCATCCAATTTTTTAACATTTCCCAGAACCACAGATGGCTCAACGCTCATCCTCAATTTACTGTGTTTAGCTCAGACTCCTCCTGGAATGCAAACAGTGTAAATATATTACTGACAAGAACAAAACTCCCAGCTACCTCACCCAAAATGTGCACGCTCTCCCACAAAGATACATTATGAGGGTTTAGTAGGAGAGATAAACCAATGTGTGATGATGGCCAATGTTCATTTCTAAATAAATGCTTAAGTACCAAAGAGTAAAAATATTCTTAAAGGTGGGCTTTAAAAAAGAATACACACATGCTGAATAAAAAATAAACAATAAAGCTAAGGTTTATTTTAGTCTGATAGTATGTAGAGCCTTTGTATAAGACATTTAAATGACTTCATGCACAGATAAAAATGAATAACTGAGAATTGAATCTGGTTGTTTTCAGTTGTCGAGGATTTAGAAGGAAATTAAAATGAGAAACGTCAGAGAGTGACCACAACATTCGCAGAGAAAGAGCAGCATCCTTTGCAAACGAGGACGATACTGGAGGAGTCTGGCGCAGGAGGAAGAGAGGCGCATTCCTCGCCGCTGTGGCAGCACATCCCATACATCGCTGCAACTCGGCGCTCCTCTCCTGCTCATCAACAAGTCGTGAAGGATGAGAGGCGCCCATATTGTCCTGACAGCCGTCCGCCGTGCATTCTCAATCACACATTATTACCACATTCATATTCATTTCCACTGACACGCGTCCTTTCCCTCCGCTCAAATTAAACCAAAGAAGATGCAGGGGAGGGAGGGAGGAGGGGGACCGCAGAGAGGGGGAGTTGATGATGAAATGCTGGCCTAGGCCACAGCTCATTGCATTCCAATTTGCATGCAAATGGTTTAGTGTGAGAGCAGGGCCTATATCATGACGAGCGAACTGGGGCAGAGGCTGAGAAACAGCTCTAATCTACTGTCCAGGGACACGGCTCCACAGACTGCCATGAGTCACCAAGATGCCAGCAGGATCCACACACAAAAACTCATTTCATGCATATGTGTATGCCTCACACTCCAGTGTGTGTGGGGGCTCTTTTAACAGCCAGATATGACAGCATACCTATCAAAGGGTCAATTTCCACAGGAAGCTGGTACTGCTGATCCGCTGGGCTCTGATGGCCTGACAGAGGAGAAGACAGATAGGAATATTATTGTAGTTGAGTGGCTTTGTGAAAATATGCTGCATATGAGGTCATTCTAACACACTGAAAATTAAAACCATAATGTGATACTGTGACCTACTGGTCTAAGCTTTCTCCTATAAATCATATCAAAATTATACCTAAAAAGCTACTGAGGCTATAGAGAAGATAACTAAACAAATTATTTACCAACAGGTTCAAATATATTGATTTTACATGAACAGAACATAAAGAAAGGTTTTAACTTTTTTTTATCACATTTGAAGCATCATATTCAAAAATACTTTATTAATCCCAGATGGAAATAAGGTAATATATATATATATATATATATATATATATATATATATTGTGGATGTTTTTAAAACACATAAACAAAATATAAAAACAGTGAAACACTCTAACCTCTAAACAACTTTATGCCATTTTATCCCTGCATCCTTAAGTTTTGAGATGTAAGAACAACAATTATCTCCACCTTTCAATAATTGGTGAGAAAATTCAATAAATCCCTGGAATTGTTACGCTTCTGCTGAATGGCATATATGTGACCAGCTGTTATCTGCAGGTAGTTTAATGAAATAGAATGAATAAAATCTTAAAGCTCTTTTGAAGCCCTTTATTGAACAGTAGCTACAAAAATAAATAAATAAATAAATAAATAAATAAATAAATAAATAAATAAATAAAAATAAACGTGATTTTGATCAGAAAAACAGTACATTTTGGTTGTTGTCCCTGCAAGCTCTTAACTGTTTTTCTTTACAGTTGGTAAATCTTAATCTTCAAACATTGTTTGAGGTTTCTTCTTTAAAATGACATCAAAAAATGTGTCATTAGAATAACTTCAAAGTAGAATTCCGACCAAATCATAACAAGTTACCCTGATTAGGAAAAAAAATCAAGCCTTATCTCTGGAACCGCTCATGATCTCAGGATGATCGAGGTACCAAAACGTAGCTTGAAAAGCGGGAATCTAAAAATGTGCTTTGGTTATTTTGACCAAATCTGACTTAAACCACAGTTTGATGTGATGGGTCACATATACAGCTGGCTAAACTGAATCACTTGGTTGGTCAAATCTTTTGTATGTGATTGAATTTTACTAAGATCTCATCAGTTTTCATTTAATTGAAGTTTTTTCTCTGGAGCAGGACGGGTGTTGAGTAAATAAGGTTTTGTAAAAGTGATCGGCTGATGTATAGAGGTAGACGTGAGACCTAACACTGCCTTCTACGTGTGTCACATTTGATACTACTGTCTGGGAGACATAGTCAGCTGGTTCCCAAATCAACGTCCATCCTACTGGGATGAGACAGATCAGTCAAATTATACACGTGTATTAATTATTAAGGGCAGATGAGCAGAAACAAATTAACAAGGAATTTTGTGTTTTTTGAAACATTAAACAGCCTAAAACAGAGCTGTATTTGGGTTTTTGTTATTTAGTATGAATCTCTCACCTGTCAAGCCGTGCCACTTGTTGACAGCAAAGAGGCGGCTGGCGGTGACTGTGATGATAGCGGGTGACGTTAGTCCTGGCTGGGTGTTGGCCGCTACGTGTGTCACGGGAGAATTGGACGGGAACTTTAGCACCATGATTACATCCTGCTGCATCTGCTCCGTAAACATCAGTGGGGTCTGCAGGAGAAGATACTGTTCAGGGCCCGGGGATGGAGGACAGGACAAACAGGAGCAGAGCCAAAATGTGGAGTGGCAGGCAAGAGAAAAACAAAATATGAAAGTAAATGAAAAAGACAAGAAGAAGAGAAAAGCATAAAAAGAAGGTTAGAGGCAGGATAGCTGTTAGTAGCTTTAAAGCAAGGTAATTACAATTGGAAAGGGTTCAGTTTGGTTTTAAACAGAAAAGGTAAGGCAGTTTTTTTTTCCACTGTACCATAGAGAAATCAGACAAAGAGCAAGAAAATGTTCTGAGTTCAAGATAGTGATTAAACATTTGAAAAGCTGAAATGAAAGTGGAGTCTCTCAAAAGATAAGAAGCTCTTCCCCACTTGCGTGTAGAATAAATTTTAAACAGCTGACAAATGTCTGCTCAAAAAATTGGTTGTAATTCTTCAAAAGATCAACTTGTGATCTTCAGTATTAATCTATTTTAATACAATGCACTTGAAGACATAAATAAATGTCTGCTGACAGAAACTTTCCATGCTGCTCTAAGAAACATTTTTCTTCAACCGATCCAGTATACTGAACTGAAGTGAACTCTTGTATGAAGCCACTGTGGGTCAGTTTCAAATTTACCTTTCATGGTCATGATTATAGAAAAGTGAGCTTCCATAGAATGCTATTTGAATGCATATTTTATCTCTGGGAAATTTCTGCTCTCGTCACAGTGCTGATATAAATAACCCTAACAATTAATCTGGATGCAGAAACATCTGAAAGGGTTAGATGTAAATGCTAAACTAAAAATCACAATCTGGCAAAGTTTCAGCTGTGTGTTAACATACCAAGGATTTTTTTCCCCTGTTTGATAGAAATATGTTTAGTGGTATCACCAAGCAGAAGCAATCCAGACATGAGGTCATTTATGGTGTCCCTCAGGGTCCTTTTCTTGGAACCACAATTTTTCTTAATATACACATGCTGCCATTGAGAAATGTCTTATCAGTGTTGACAAAGGTTATTGTATAGGGAAGGACAAAACCCCAGTCATTGCACTGGCACCATTAATGCCTATTTGAGACCTTTCCTTTGTCTTACAGAAGGGGGAAAAAGACAAGAAATGAAGTTCACTAATTCAAAATTTGCACTAAAACAACCTAAAATGAAAGCAAATTGTGAGCACAAAGTTTCCTCTAGAATTGGTTTCAGTTTTTTCTTTTATAACAATAAAAATGATTGTCTTTGCTTTGGCTGGCCACAGTGATCAGCCATAGGATCATGACCCTAAAATTAGGTCCTCTAATGTCTGGAAGAACTTTCAATAGAATTTTAGCTATAACTTAAAGATTGAAAAAACATTATCTTTTCAAGGCTTATTTTCAACAGGTTTTTTGTAATGTTTTCCGTTTACTAAATTGATTTTTTTTCATTGAATTTATTCAGCTATTTTAGGTTTTATCTTGTGAGGTTTAACCTCTTTTAGGCATCTACAAAAAATGCTGAGAACCACTTGCATTTTTGTTTTATAAAAGTAAATTTAAATTTTAGTTATTCTATGAAATGGTAGGGAAAAAATCTGGACAAATAACTTGTAGGTTTTATTGTTTTGTCTCAAAAAAAGTTAAAGCTCCACAGATATTGAATCTAAAATATAAGCGAGACTGAGCTTACTTTGGCCAAAACACACATTTATAATTAAAATCTTTTCATCAGCTTTTTTGTTTAGGCTTACTGTTAATTAAATGTATGTCTTAAGAGCTTTATGAATTTCTAAATGTGTGAAATACATGTTGCTTTAAAAAAAACACACCAACTTAAATTTGTTTTATTTAAAACATACAGATAGGAAGAAAATATCCAGTCATAAGATAAAAGTCCTTTCATTGAGCTGTCAAACTGTTTCCTCTGCCTAGACAAGGTTTAGGACAATTTAAGAAGTGTTTGTACTAAGCAGCTTGAACAGAAAGCTATTTTCCTCCTTGCGTGTAAAGAAGAGGAACATCAGTGTTTAACATCAGGAACAGACCTGAGAAAATCCGGTGTCTGACAGCTAACTAGAGGCACTGACAGTATCATTACCACCAGCATGGGCAGATGCCGACACACTGACAACACACTCGCATGAGAGAGATAGAGAGAAAGTGAAGAGCAAGATCATGGATAAGTAAAGAGATTTGAGCAGTTAAAGAAATGTAAAGCAGTGAAAGAGGGGCTAGAAAAATGCTTCATGAATAGTAAGACCTGGAAAAGAGTAAGGTGGCGTGAAAATAAAATCACTTCATAGGTATTTACCCGCGCAGTAAGATGACAGAATCAAAGGAAAAGCCAGAGTTGTTGTGTGTGCATGTGCTGGGTGGTGGTCTACAGCCAGCTGTCAGCGCCGCAGGGACACCACACTAATAGGGACTCATGGGACCTCGGCCCATCACAAGCAGGCACTGCTGCCTGCACTTCTTGGCCCTTAAAGGGCTACTGCTTCTAAGCTCCCTCTCATTGCTCTTTTTTTTTATTTTTAGACGATCTGCTCTGTTTCCAGCTCAGGTGGAAAATCTGGCTCAGAACCAGGTTTTCAGCTTGACTCTTTGCCTTCCAACCCCCTCAAAGCCCTCTTCCTAAATGCACACAAATGGTTGTGAGCTCTCCTTTTCACAAACACCTCACTAATAATGAGTGAGCGGATGCTTTCAAAAGCAAAAGGGTATTTTCCCACAGTAGTACAAAGACAAAGAAAGACAGAAGGAAAACGATACAATAGAAGAAGCTACAAATCATCAAAAAGAGTTCAGTGTGGACAGGAGTGCTGACCAGAAATCAAAGATGAACACAGGTAATGAAGATTAGTTGGCTTCTGACCCCGTTTTTTAAAAAAAAAAAACTGTCTGACTTCAGATAATAGCTTGTCAGCATTTTTAGGTCGTAACTGGCGATGTAGGTTTGTGCACCACTTACCACTTGCATGGCTGAGCTACGGGGTGGGTGTGGCTCAATAAGCAACTGACAGGGGGTCTGACCAAAACTCCTGATCTGAGACTCCACAGCCTGTATGAAAAAAAGATAGAGAAGGAAAAATGACGACTGTAAGAACATCTCGATTTTCTGTTGATTTTTCTTGGATTAATGTGCCCTAGACTTGAAACAATAATGACCCTGTTGATGTAGAACAGATAATGGTCAGTTTGCACTTAGAAGTAAATATCAAATTATTCTTCTACAAATGCTACAACATTCTCAGATTAGTGTGTTTACATAAAAAACAACATAAAAGCCCTAACAGCAAGGAGAAAAATACATGTACTTGTGTTCAAGCACATGTACACAGTCTACATATAAACACTCTTTTTTCACCGTCTCGTGCTCACACACATTTATGCCCAGCTGCCAATTAATCCTCCCCAGCCACACAGAATCCGAGGAGAGGTGGGCAGGCTGACTGGTATGCTTGGTTAGGTGGTGTTAATGAAGAGGTATAGGACCATAAATGTCAGAGCAGACGCCGGCTGAGCAGCCTCTGGACATCATCACACAGCTCACTGTCAGACGAACCACCAAGAGGAGGGACATGCACACGGTGCAGATGCATGCAGCTTTTCTAAACCCCCCCTTTCAATGCCATTCAGTTAAGACAATGGGTTTAGAATGCCACAAACGTGCATTTTTATCACTGACGTTGGTTCTTGTTTTGCCTTTTAACCAAGGTTTGTTGTAGAGAGAATTTAAGAACGAGGACCTTTATAGTTTCCCAATGTTAGAATAAAGACAAGTTGTTGAACAAATGATCAGAAATACAAAACCATTTTCTTAATAACTAGTGGAAAAAATTTCTAATTCCAAATCGTTCTTTTTGAAAGAACCAAATACTCTGGAACACATCATCAGTCTAAATGTGCATAACAGCATTAGGCTGACAACACACTTGAAGAATATCTATCATGCGAGACAAAGAATGATAGTGTATAAAAAGGGACAGGCAGACATAAAATGGCCAACACAAAACGATGACAGAGCCGTCAGTGTGTTGGTGTGCTGTGCGACTAGCTGTGTAGGAGTGACAGCTTGTGTGTGTAGGCTGAGACGTTTGAGCCTGACTTGGCACAGCCTGAGAATGAGCTCATAGTTGAGGCCTGCATTTGGTATTTCCATGAGAAAATCTTGGGAAATTAAGTCCACTCATATCCATTGTCTGAAACTAACCAGAAAAGCAGAGAAGATGGAATGATTTTAATATGTCATTGCAAGGTTTCACCAAGTTATATTGGGCTAAAAACTGAGACCTAAAATCTTTGTAGGACAACACTAAGAAACCAAAGATTTCAAACAGAACAACCCTTTATTTTGATCTCTTTTGACCAGAATTACAGGCTTTTGTGTTGTCACAGAGTGAGTCAGTTAGAACTGAGGTCACCCTTAAAGTCTCGCAAAGTTTGATGTACCACAGTTTTTTTTATCTGACAAATTCTCCTTACACAAAACAAAAAACAGCTTTAAGTTTGGTTTACAATGTGTGATTTTTTTAACTGCATTAAGTTGGTATTGATAATATTAGCATTTGGATAGATCTAGTCACCTCTTCTTCATTGATGTAAAAATCAAAAGAAATGTGACATGACTGTTTAGACTGCAGCTGCTTTGAAAACAGCAGACATGTATCCAATTCAGTAACACATGTTAAAATTTAGGAGGGAAAAAATGGATTTTCAACGTTTATACTATCGTACAAAAATTTTGATAAGAGTGACCTTTGTGCCAAAACAATCTAATTTGGGCCACTTTCGCCTGCAGTGTGAAAACAACCTATGTAATACATGGTCAGTCATGTCAGGTTGTCAATGAAATACCTTCATGATTCAGTGTTTTGCTTATATCAAATATAAGATCACCTCAGCTCAAGATTTCAAAACTGGTCTTTGCAGAAATTCAATATTTTTTCATTTCAGCCATAGTCAGACTTTGAACATCAGTGCATCATTCAAGGTCAAAGTGTCACCTTTCTCTTTTGCTTAAGCTAATGTGTGGAAGAGACTCCTCAAAGGCACTCAACTTATCTTCATTAGATTCAGACTTGACATTTACGAGGCTGCCGAGCCGGTGGAAAGCGGTAGAGGGTAGGTCAGGATGTCCTATCCCTATATGCCAATGCAATGCTCAGGTGATTATATGAGGGGCCATCCACAAGGCCAATCTCTTTTAGAAGCGCTGGCCCATGTCTGATGAGGCTTTTCTGAATTCTATACATTTAAATGGCTGAAGCGCCCTTAGCTCAGTCCCAGCCTGTCCTTTGATTTACTCAGCCACTTGACAAGATGGATCTCCATGTAAAACATTGTGCTTTTAATGCAAATCAACCCGATGACGACAACTCTATGAATAGAATTAAAACAATGAATGCAAGCGCCTTGTATTTCTAACTGTGTGGCATAATGTTTGCATAATTTGGCTTAAAATTTCCATCAGTGGACATAAAAACAATCCTAAACTGCATTGCCTTATGTTTGGGGACTGACTTTGGCAAAGTCTCAAAGCAGGTTCACATGCATGGCCTTATTTCCCGTCTTCTGCCGAATTACGCAAACGCTGTACAATTCAAGCAGGGTTCTGGCTTTCGTTGCTATTGTGAGGGGCTGTGGGATTTTTCCATAATCGTATGTGAAAGAGGGGAAGCCCTGTAGAATGATGAGAAGGCAAATCAGAGTGAGTTTCTCTTTATACACCAAGAGGCAACACAGATGTGCATGCAATTCCCTGCACACCAACACGTAAATGAACGTGAACGCTCAGTTCTTTTTGGGGGGTTGAGTGGTAGGAGCTAGACAGGAAACAATCATTGTTTTTAAAAACATGACACTGGTATCCACAGCGCTAACACTAATCTGTGCTTCCAAACTTTTTCCAGAACCAAAATCTGCACAAACAAACTGCTGATGAGTGCACAGGAATATACAAATGGAAATGCATGCCTATAAATACATTTCCCCACACACAATTTTGTACCAGCATGTCTATGTAATATCTCAAGAAATCACTAAAGCCTGTGTATGTGGGAAAGGTTGAGGGTTGCAGGAGTTGACGTCTGCCAGAAAGCATGGCAGGGATATGGAATCTGCAAACCAAAAAGACAAAATTATATAAACCAGTTTTTGGTAAACATACACACAAGAAAAAAATAAAACACACACACACAGATGTACACACATCTGTGACCCATCCCCCTTCCCACTGCACTGCCCCAGGGCTCGCCTTAATGCAGCCTATCCTGGCTAAGACCACAATTCAGGCTGAAACAGTTGTCACTCAGTAATGACAGACTCTGGGGACACTTTCAAACCCAAAACCTTCAGCCTCAGAGCTCCGGTAGCCCCCTAGCGCCCCCCCAGCATCTGAATGTGATGAGGTCCAGGCATAAAACTCGGTTTCCACCTTCTGCACAGACAGGGCACTTTTCCTTCCGCACAAACACTGCTGACAGAGAGCCTTGGATTTGCTCAGAAGTGCAACACTGCTTTTGTTTATGTAACTAATTAAGGTGCTCTGACTGGACATGCATTCAGAGTTGAAAAAAGCAGCAGACTGCAGCATCAGAGAGGGAGTGGGTCAAAAAAAAAACTAAATCTGTTTTATCTTCGGGGAACAAATAAATTAATTTAACTTTACACATTAATAAAGCAGCTGCTAGCACATTTTAGCTTGTGTACGTTTTGCCACTGATATGGCAGTGCTATTCAACTGACAGCCCACGGGCTGGTGCCTTATGTCCGGCCAGCCAATGAGTGCCCTCCACTCTCCAACAAAAACATTAATAATAATAATAATACTTTTTACTTATTTAATATAAAAACACATTTTAAATTGACTGTAAATTTTAAATGTTTCGTTCAATGCAACAAAATAAACAAATGTAACAGGTAAACAATAAGAATACTTTCACTATTACCCTGAGCTATTGGCTTTCTGGAACTAATTTAGGTGAATAGACTTGCTGTCAAACTGACAAATGAAAACATTTTCTACAAACTCAAAAATAAATAAATAAATAAAAATAAAAACCTGAATGAAACTAAAATTTTATGAGATTTTCAAGATGCACTGTATGCAAACTAAACAACATTTCGAACAACAGCACAGGCCAAAGCTTACCGTAATTGTTTTGAAACGGTTTTAAAAGGGATGGTGTGGTGGGGGTATTCTATTCTAAAACAACTCTGATCATATTAATCTGCCTGTGATGGATCTGTGTTTATTGTTAGATTAATCAATAACATTGTCACTGGAACAGCTTGGCAGAAATAGTGAAGTACCAAGGATCCAATTTTCGTGTGTGTGTGTGTGTGTGTGTCTTAGGCGGAAGAATGGGTAATGGGCTGAGTGTGGAAAAGACCAGGCCGCTCGGATAATGAATCTGCATGCGTGCGTGCGTGCATGTGTGTGTGTGTGTGGATGTGTGTGTGTGTGGATAAAGGCCATAGCACATCTGGATGGGAATTAGGGTGAATGAGGTGATAAATCAACGATCTACCCCTTGTGCCCGCGATGCTCCAGTCAGTGAGCATGAAGGGCAGCGACACGGTGGAGGCAGAAGGCTGCTCGGCCACTTCATATACTCTGAACTCATCTCCATTTAGACCTGAATGCCAAGAGAAGTCTTATTTATTACAGGATGAATCCTGATTCCATTGTTTTGTCCATTACTAACCTCGATCATAGAACTATATTTTAAATACAAAACTTGAAATTCACAGCGACGTTCTTTTCTAGCAGTTGCACCCAGACAATGGAATGGGATTTTGTTTATATCATTCATTAACAGTAGGGGTGGAGGCTACAGTTTATTCTAATTTAGCATGCATTGCTGCACTTGCAAAATCCTAAATACTGTCAACGTCAAAAATGTAATTTTGGTAAGTTACGTTGTGCAGCCACTGTAGGAAAAATCAGATGAATAGTTGTTGTGAAGTACCTACTGTCCTACTGTTGTAGCAGCTAAAATTGAAATAAGCTGCAGTATAATTTCACATATCTGTCCTCTTTTCTTCACTAAAGCATGAAGAATATGTGTCAGTAAACAGGTAAACTGAAGTCATCATAACACAGCTGTCTTTATTAATGTCACTGAAATACTTAATTTGTGAATTTCAGTGACAAAATACTTCTATGCTAACTGTGGGTCAGCCACTTGTGGTTAATAGTTTCATTGTAAATGTCACTGTGCACTCTTCATCAGACATAAGAAAATATCATTTCAACTTGAGACCAAGAGCTTTGATTTAAGGATGTTGTAGCCTTAATTTTTTCTTGTATTTCAGTTTGAAACACTTTGTTTTCCAACTGAAAAAGTTGCTATAAAAAATAAAAAATCAGACATCTATTTAAGAGAAAAGGGGATGTTAAAAATTTGCCACTAAGAATATTTCAAATAAAATGGCAAATTTATTTTGAATTAGCAGCTCGTCTTCCTTTTCTTGTTTAGTTTTAGTTTTTTAGACTTTACTGAAAAAAAGACAAATTACCAGAATGCAGTAATTCTGTTTCAAAGCAACAAAAATACACATAAACCAAGAGCCAAGTTACAATAAATTCAAACAGGAAAAAAAACAACAATAATAAATATTATTATCAAGACAACAATAACAAAATATATACCCCTTTTTAGCACTAAACCTTTGATGTCAAAAAGCTGATGTGAGGTGGGTCAATCGGCTTTGCTGCTGGCAAGCTGCTTTTTCCAGCAGATTGGGGAAGTTGTCAGGCCGGTGTTTCGGCTGGGTTTTTCTTTTCAGCACTGTGTGTTGTGTGGTTGCTCTTGGGCAGACCAGGGTAGGGTTGTGTGCGCATCAGTTCAAAGTGGTGGGAATGAATAATGAATGAAAGCCAAGGAGGAGGCTTTAAGGCGTTAAAGTGGAACACTTGGTGAAGTGCTTTCAAAAAAAAGGTATGACACAAGGGAAAAGCTTTGCTCAGCAATACCTGCCAGTAGACTGTTAGCATAGCTCTGTGGTGCCTCTCTACAGACAATTTAATGCTGCTAATGGCATCAAAAACCTCTCTGAAATACAGATGCTTTTATAACGTAGTCATATTAAGCATCCATTTGAGAGTGCTCCAGTGTACTTACCGTAATGGAGTATTTTTGTACCAACTCAGCATAATCTGATGAAGGAGTTAAATCAGCAATGGATTAAAATGTTTGTGTACAAACTTGCAGCCTCACCTCTCTGAGCATGGGGTCGTTGATGGAGTTGAGGTTGACTGCGTCTTCGTAGGTAAGATAATAGAAAACATTGAGCGCTCTAGCGGCTTCAGGCCCCTGCTGCTTGTAGCCGAAAATCAAGTCAATCCACTGGTGAAGCTGACAGGAAACAAACTCACTCTCCAGGGCCTGTATCAAAAAAAAAAGGACATAAGATTATGAGTATTAGAAATATCAACATATGAATGCCATTTAAACACCATACTTTGACCAAATACTGCTTCCCCAAAAATGTTCCTCATCTCATTACTGAATCCTAACGTCCCTCAAAGGCAAAATGCTCAAAGAAAGCAAAAATCCTGCTAATTGTTTTTGTGATAGGATCTGCAGATGATTTTTATCACAAGGAATATGCACAGTGTATCTAAATCTGATCATAAGGGAGCATCAAAACTCTAGTGGCTCATTAGGGAGTCGTTTCGGTTTCTGTCTTTGTTCTTCCTCTGCTGGTTGTGAGCCGACAAGAGCCCAGTGTTATTCCTCCTGCAGACGTCTCTGCGCCGCCGTTACTTAGACACCAGCCGTTTTCTCTCCTCATTAGCCGGCAAAGGAGGGGAAAAAACATTTATGGTTTTCTCATAAAAACAGGCAATAGTGTTAATTTGCGTAAAGCCGTAGTCTCACAAAAGCCCTCTAAACACGACAAAATTAGAATGAGGCAGCCCTTGATTGTCATTGCTGCCTTGTGTCACATTAATTTGTGACTAAACATTAGCCCGTGCTGCACTTAAATGGCAATTTATATCATTTAAATTTTTACTGCACGTGCTAGTGCATCCCTCACTTAAATGTGACTTTCTGACAGGTCATTTTGCATCTAATTTCTCCCCACTTGTTTAATTGCAGTTTTTAGCTGGGGAGCCAAGCACACGTCTAAAGAGGAAACTGTGTGCAGCTCAGATGAGGTTTCCTGCAGCATCGGTGCCGACTACGTTTTGGCTGTCACAAAGCTCATGATCTGCACTGATGAGAAGCTTAGCAATGAAAATGTTTAGCAAACGATTATAGGAAAGAAACAACGGCGTGTGTTTTCACATGGAAAACAGATCAGGAGAAAAACAAATAGGTGACGAAGTTCAGGGTATAGGTATGATTGAAAACAATAAAAAAGACAAACATTTTAGGATAAATATGAAACAAATGAATAAAAAACAAAATGTTATCCTTTGATCCAACTACTTTTTAATTAATGTACGATTACAAATCAGTGCAACAATCTTTTCTCCCGTAATAGCAGACAGATCAAGGTTCAGCTGTGTGTAGGTACAGCATATCTGTAAATGTGGAAGAGAACCATCAGTTCATTAGGTGTTAAAATTGACCTTCGACAGGCCCTGCTCTGCTGTTTCGAAAACTAAAGCTGGGATTGATGAGCATTTAATGTGCACAGCAATCAACTGTCAATCAGTCTGGGAAAACAAAGAGAAGCCATGTTATTGCAGCTCCCTCCTCAGAGCCCTGACTTTATGTAAATCACTCGTGGACTATTTGAAGATGCATTGTGAGGGTAAAAACAAATGGACAATGTACAGATTTGTTTTGTGTTTGTTCAGTCTGTTAATACTTTTCTGACAAAAAAAAAAAAACATGAGTTCTTGACGAACTAAATCCATGGAGAAATTTTACCTCAGTTGACAAATGTGAAAATGTAAGAATAAAAGAAAATTTGACTCTACTTGTCAGATTGTACTTAAAGGCAGATAAATTAGGTATAGAAGTACTGAAAGCCAGTATTTATTTTCATAAAGTAAAGTTCTTGTGGAAATATACATTGTGACATTCAGTAATTTTCGTTTAGTCACAAAAATTACACAGCACAAAATATTGCCTGTGTAGTTGAGTTGGTAAAATTTATTGCTGCATGGTATGCTGAGAGCCATACTGCCTTTATTTCATTATTCTCAGCACAGTCAGTGTTGGACCTGTTAAAATTCCATGATGTGGAAAGTCAGTATTAAAACAGCTAATTTAGACAAATAACTCAGGTATAAATGTAGTGCACTGAATACAATTTTTTGATGACTTCGTCATGATCCTTTTGTTCATCTTGCAAGTCATGTTAAACTTTGAACACACTTTTTGATGATCAATAGAGTTTTAAGCATTTTTATGCATATGCCTATAAGAATTCAATGATAATCATTTTTCATTGCATCTGGTAACTAAAGTTGGAAAGATTTCTGTAAAAATGAAATTTCTGTCTATCAATAAAATAGATTATAAGTGTAAAGTTGCAAACAAGTAGAAATACTCTGGTACAGTGTTTAGTTATACCTCAAAGATTCTAGAGCAAGTCTTATATAGCACAAAATACACAAGACATAATTAACACATAACCAACAACTTGATTTTTGTTGAAAAGTACTGTGAACAAACTTAAAATAAAGTCTGCATAAATAGTGACCAGTTCCTATACTTCTACCTTGGGCATGTGTCACCATCTTGGTCGAGTTAAAAACTACAACTGAACTAAAGATGAAATGAATGGTGGCATCAACACGTTCTACTTACACATGGAAAAGCAGATGTGTGAAAAATACAGCTATTAAATGTATAAAACAATTATTAGGAGCCATATTCCGGTTACCCATTAACTAAATGTTAGGTGAGCAGGTGTGGAAGTGTGTCCTCGTGTGGAAACGCACTGTGGAAACATCTGAGCAGAAGGCTGGGGCAGATAGCAGATTCCTGAGGTGGGACCCAAGAAGGGAACCAAGCCGAATTATTGATGTGCCAATTAGCAGCCGATGCGTGTGTCTTCCCCACCCCACGAGGGACTCACTGATAATTAATGAATAATTTAGCATGCCTTTATGTAAATGCTAACAGGGGGTAGAAGTCACTGGAAAGCCTCATTTCTATTGTTACAGGTTTGATAAAGTACACCTCTGAAGCGGCGGAGAGGAGGGGGGGTCCCCCTTTGTTGTGAGCTGAGATTTGTTTCCAACAACAGAAAATTTGGAATATTCTCTAATGCACAGGAGGGCCGCTACATCATTATATCTGTCTGAACTACGTGTTTATATTGCTTTCATGCCTGTTAGCCGAGCTGTGACGTGAATTCCAGTGAAAACGTAGAATAACGAACAAACCTCATCTGCAGGAAAGTTTCAGGTTACTCTAATTCTTCCCTCTGCGAGACACATGTACCTCGAGTTTGGACTTTGAGACTTTAAAGAAAACCAAAAACGGTCAAATAAAAATGACAGGTTGACCATGTGTCTGTCAATATGTTACAGCTTAGAGGGAGTTAAAAGTTTCAAACATACTATCCCAATTAGAGACATGAGACAAGCGATGGCAAGTGATCGCACTTAGCCAGCTGGTGGACATTAAAGTGTTCTGAAAAGTCAATGGAGAATTTCTAATCTTAAACAAGCATTTCCTTCACAGACTTATCCCAAAATATATTTGATTAGTAGGAGATTTACGTCCTGAAACATAAATTATTATTTAATCTCATTAATTTCTTAGTAAATATCTTAAAAGCTGGCGTGTCTTCCCAAGCTCTGGGTTTGTACTGGGTCTGTCGGAAGGGTTTCTGTAGCTCGTTGTGGTTTGTGGTGAGCTTTATGAACTGGATCGAGCTGGATTTCACTCCAGTCTTAACGAGGTGACAGTGAACGCTTTCCTCCTTCCCTCACTGGTCCTAAAAAACCCTTTTAAGGACTTATGGAGAGCTGTCTGTAAGGATGTTAAAACATCACTTAACAAATCAATCCCCTCATTTGCATGCCAAGAGTAATGTCAAGTGTGTGCATGGACACGTGTAACTGATGGTGTGTATGCGTGTAACCGAACACACATATGCATGCAAAATGTCAGTGTTTGTGCGCGCGTTTCAATTGATAACAGATGAATAAAGCTAATGCATGTCTGTCAGTTCTGCATTAATTACTTGTGTTAAAAACAAACTGATCAAAAGATTCTGGAAACCACATTTAGCGTGAGCTAAAGAGAAACAACTTCTACATGGGAAAAATATTTGAAACCTAACTCACTGCACGTCTGGGTCAGAATTTTAATGAATATTTATTATGTTTGAATATATTTTTATTGTGTCTTTATCAACTCAAAAAAGACACCAAATGCCTCTTCAGAAACACCAGTGTTTTTTTAAGGTGGAGATGAGCAGAAATAATGAGTTAGTTTGGGGAATTTGTTGTTGTAGTTTTGGACTTCTTTCCTCATCAGCTGGTAAAAAGTGTGTAGAGAAGGCTAAGAATAAACATCCTTAAAGGAAACAATACTCTTCTTTCATTCGTTTGCGTCTACTCATTTGCACATTTTTTAAATAATTTCTATTTTTAACATTTTCAGTATACAGAATCTACATACATGAATACCCAACATACATCAGAAGCACCATTATTCACAGTATTACATCTTATAGACCAGATCTGTTTGCTTTAAAGAAAGCCTGACCAAAAGAGATCTTACATGCTCAGTCCATTTAATCCAGATTTCATAGAACTTGTCATAATATATATTTCATGCATTATATTCATCCATTATTTATGGTATGAGATTCCACCTTCCACCATTTCCTTGTGATAGCATTCTTACTAACAACCAGTAACATTTCAAGTATTTTTTTTAAATCTGCTTCATTCCAGTTTGTCATGGGTACAGCACCCAAGAAGAGTGTTTCACAAATGTAAGGAATTTTAACTCAAAATGTATTGTTAACAAGTTCACTTATTTTTACCAAGTAGCTGGTTATTCTCAAACATTTTTAATGCTGGTTCTCTCTTTTCCATTTTTCTTCAAGTCATTTGATCCTTTGGATCAAGTTTTCAAGAGCTGCTTTTGCCTGAGGTTGACAAGCCCACGATTAAAGGACTCATTTAGCTCGTTGTAGATGAGAAACCGATCTCATTTGGAAGCAGGCAGAGGAAGGCTGCACAGCAAAGAGAACTGGGGCCTCAATAAGGAAGAGAAAAGGAAAGAGTCAACAGATGACGTAAGGAACAGGATCCTTAAAGAAGTCGTGCAACTAACGAACCATTTCCTTTATTCTTGTATTTTCACACACCGACTGAACCCCAGATGTGTGTGGTACCTCAATCCCGCCCCCTTCCAGCTCAGCTAATTAGAAAAGGTCACAACTGTGAGCGCTTTGGCAAGGG